ATTTTGTGTTTCATGTCTTGTTTACTTCCAGCTAATAGAGAGCAAATGTTGTTTACTATTATTTACATTTGGAATTCCTGTAATTGAGTTTAAGTAAAAACAAAAAAGCCCACTACAGATAATAATTATCAGAGTTGAAATATTAAAAAAAAAAAAAAAAAAAAAAAATAAGCAGTTTCTTTAATGTCACACTCCATAAAAAGAACACTTTTAATACAAGGATATATTAGGTAGGAGTGAATGCATGCAGCATACAGGAAAACTTGAAATGGGTATAGGTTTTATTATTTTTACTAACCTAAGATTGTCCGTCCGTATAGTCGACTGTTTGTCTGTCCAGGTTAATGGTGCACTGTGCTACTTTACACTTTTTTTACTTTTAGTTAGTAACACTAACAGTTTTGTGAATTTTTACTGAGTACTCAGTACTGATTGTACTGAGTAGAAAGGTGAATTAAAGACTCAAAAATTGTTATTGTAGCGCAAATCAACAATTGTTTCAATTCTTGTCGGAGGGAGCTTGGGTAAAATGCAATTATAAAACGTTTATCAATTCAATTTCATTTCCTTTGTTTAGGAGAAATGTCGTTACAATGTTTACGCATAATATTCTATATGAGCTGAGGCAAACAATAGCAACTTATGCTAATCGCATCGATTCATACGTCAATCAATATTGCATCTCTCTATCTATATGTAGTTAAAGAAGTGCGGAGACCTCTTTAAAATTCGTAGAAAAAAGTACTTGTACTGATTGATTACAATGAAAACGTTACATGCACACCCTGAGATATCATTTCAAGTTAAATAAGATTTCTGAATATATACTTTATCGTAATTCGTTTTTGTTTGTTATAGTTTTTTTTTTTTTCTTTTTTTCTTTTTTTTTTCTATAATATAAAAGCATATGAAAAAAGGAGTCAACGGATTGATTAGATGACACTTTTGGAAACTAGGATGCGATGTGGGTACTATCCGCCTACCCGAAACTGACGCAAAGTCACATATACATAAGTTTTTGGAACCTGATCCGTGCCCATAACGTTATTGGCCAACATGTAGCTTGTCAACGAACGCGGCCACACCAAAAAAGCTCGTGGAGTCAAGAAAGTGCAGCATTACGTCATGTGAACTGTTTATTTTCGAATTAAATTAGAAAACTGAATTTCTCCGAAATGAGATAACAACTCACTAACCAGCGAAAGAATCATGTTATTAAAAGCAAAATTTGATGAGTAACAACTCTTGACAGATGAAAGATTCTGTAGATGTATGTAGATTTATTTAAAATTGTAATTCTCGAAATTGCACTTGCACAGTACAGTAAAAGTTTGTATTATAAATTTGCTCGTTCATAGAAGCGATGCGAAGAAAGTAGACTTGTCGTAATCAGCATAGATTCTTAAATTGTTTAACGATACATCTCTGCCAATTTATACAAAATTGAACTATAAAACATAGGTAAAACGAAAATGGGCTTTTGTTAGATAAAAAAAAATAAAAATAAAAATAAAAATAAAAGAATGAGAAAAGCTCGATTAAGTGGCAACATGTTAATGTCACTAAACAGTCCCGAGTGAAAGTGATTTGGTAAAACGTAATGCTAATGGGAAATTCGAGGTGATTGGTGTTCTTCAAAATTGTTTCCATAGTAATTGTTTCGATAACCTTGCAATCGTACGAATAAAGCTTACTAATGAACATTTTAATTAGCTTTACGGAATATTTGTTACTATAATATTTTTGAACTTTTTTAAAAAATGTTTTCTTTCCATTTTTTGTTTTTTTTTTTTTTAACTTCACACGCTAACGTTTTATGTTCACACTTCAATTTTATTTGTTTATTTTTTTTTTTTTTTCTCTTTCTTTTTGACTAATTAAATTTTTAGATTAATTTAATGCTTTCATGCGAAAAAAAACTTTGATTTTTAATATATTTGTAAGTATGTGCTTTGTGTTTGAATCATTAAAACTTTATAGTATCAAACTGTCAAAACCATAAATTCTTCTTTATATTCTTCAAACTTAAGATCCTAAACAAAAACCGTAATTGCAATTTTTATACATGCAACCTTTGTGGAATTGACAAGAAAAAGAAGTTAAATGTTTTTAGTGCCATTCAAATTCTTTTAAGGATAATTAACTTTATACTGAACATTCAATATTATTCGATTTCAATATTTATTTATTTATTCTTATCTTTGAAATAATAAAAGTTAAAGCAAAAATCAAAATCAAATCACAAGATGTAAAATTTTATCTTAAACAAAAGTTCATTCCATTCAATGTTTATAAGAAGAAAATCTGAAATTCAACCTTATGATCAAATACAAAATTCAAAAATGTATTTAAAAAATAACAATAATAAAGATCATAAAATTACTTTTCGTCAAAGATAACAAAAAAATGAGAGCTAATCGATTTTTCTTCTTCCCTTCTCCTTCTCCTTCTCTTATTAATGATCAAAGAGATATTAACGTAAAACGCGAATGTAGGCAACAGCTAGAAGGACTTGAGATAGATCCACGTTTTATTATATAGATAGGTTCAGCATCATTTTCTGAATCAATCTGAGCTTTTCTGTCCCTCTGTCCGTCTGTCCAACGGTCTCACTTGTTTAAAATCGTATTGTTGCAAGGCAGTGCTAGAATAATCGCCAATAACAATATACGGAGTTCTATCGAGACCATGTTTCGCAATGAGCGTGTTATGCAAGCGAAACCTGTATATATGGGCAGAGGGACATATTAAATGGTTAAGCTGTCACTATTGAAGGTGAACACACATAGGCATTAATGACACCATTATCTTATCAAAAGAATACGTAATTACTATGAGTAATGTCGTATTTTAAGGCATTTGAATTTGAATTTGAAGATATTTATTGTGCTCTTCAGGAGTTCAATGGTCGATTCCGCGTTCTTTTGCAATTAGTCAAATGATTAGACCTTCAACATGGATCGCAAGATATCGTTATCGCCCGTACATTTGATAACTTCATTTCCCAATGCGTCACATAAGTTTTTATAAGCAACTGATGCTTTGATGTTTCTCTCTGCAATACGCCCGTTACGCTACATAATAAGAAATTCTACATAGCGTACAATGTCTGCTTGCCTCGATTTGACAAGTAAAATTTCGCAGGAAGTAAACATTCTCGCCACCCTAATGTACACTATTAAATTAAAACTCGTTCTCTACGTAAACGATAAAAATGTTGTTTTACGCTAAAAAATGAAGTAAAAAAACTCATCGAGGTTTATACAAAAATATTCTAAGTAAAAATAATTTCAATTGGTCCATTGAAATGCCTACAAATAAATATATTCGCGCATTTATATAATATACACACATATGCACTCATAGATGTACGCTCGCCATACGCACAAGCCATTTTAGTATATTTGTATATTGTAAAATTGGCCTAGCGACAAATATTATTTTCATAGTATTTGTAATTAATTTTATACATTCTTGTTATTCATTCTTTATAGTAAATTTACGAGTAATTTCAATCAAATTGATTGTAATTTTTTTTTTATCATTTTAAAGCGGATTCTCAAATTTGTTTGTTATGTGCTTTTTATTATTGAGTAAAATTACACTTGAACTAATGCAGTATTTTCATTAAATTATTAAATTTTATACAAAAATTGACTTTAAATTGCATTAACATTCAATCTATTACTTATGCAAACTTAAAATTAACTTACGTTTGAATATTTGTATAACTGAGCAGCAAGATTAGATTAATAAACCGCAAGTCAGTCAAACAAAACCAACAAAAAAATTAATATAAAAGAAAAATTAATATTATTCCTACACTAACTACGCCCAAGTTGTTTGCTCCATCTTCAACTGCTAAAAAGATATTATATTGGAAAAATTTAACTACCCCATCCGTAAGAATCAATAGTGAGTGAAGAGCGAATAGGGGGCAGAATTGGGTCTTAAGGACAGTTATCACTTTGATAAAAGAGCTTTTTCACTATGAATACCTTCACCGAAGTCCGTTTCCTTCTTTCATCGACTCTTCCGAAAAGCTATATAGTTCTGTAGATGCTGAATTTCCGAAACATCTTAACAACTGTCAATTTGACCACAATAACGATTAACATTGTTAGGAATAATAGAGCGATCTAATAGTTCGTAGCTCAGTGTGTTGAGGGTTAAAAAAAAAAAAAGTTTCGTGGGTACAATTGCGTTTCGCGTAAAGTTTAATTTTCAAAGAATTTTTGTTATATATGACACCCTTGGACAACCGAAGTCTTTATCTTTCTCGATCTGATTAAGAATTCACGCATTAAGTTCACTTCGTATATGAAGGTCACAGGGCTCACTCTGATCTCATATACATGTCGAATAAAGTCTTTGCACATAATACAGCATAAGCTTAACGCATATGTGCAGTGCATGAAAAAGACAAATAATCGATAAACTCGGATCTTCATTAAGACTATAATGCGGTTATCCTTATTCTGTTTTTCTCATGCCTGCGTCTTATTGATTTGATAACGTTATAAAAATTGTACGCATTTAGTTAGTACCCATTTTTGTCGGCGTCCGCAAACTTACAACGCACGCCTGTTTATCAATGTTTGAAAAGCTTGTACTGTTCCTTGATTAATTAGCAGACTATGGACGTTATGACACAATCAAATATTAAAATATATATAATAAAAATTAATTGTTGCTTTTTTTTATTTTTCATATGCCATTCTTTTTTTAGTGAAAGCTTAGGCTAAAAATTAAATCGTAGGTATCTTTCAAATAAGCAAAGAAAATATTAAAGATTTTCTCATGTCATGTCGCTAATCTCATGTCTCCAAGATCAAGATTTCTTATAGGAAGGCGAGAAAAAAAATTTCTATTATAGCGATTATCACTGATAGGCAGAGAATACAATGTATTTAACTTTACATATGTATATGTAAATATATATATATATATATTTTCTTTTTTTTTTTTTGTCAATTTGCCTTTATTTCAATGAAAACTTTATTCGATTCCTTGTTTTAGGTTAAGATAGTTTTTTTCTTTCTGTTTCCTTTCTATCAAATACATTCTGATATTCGTTTCACTCATTGTTTATTGCCAACATTATCTTTTCCGTTTCGATGGTGACCTTACAATCGCTATTTTTTTCATCGCAAACTTTAGTCTCCGTACCTGTGCTTGTTGATAATTTATCTGCAGTAGTGGTTGTGGAGGAGGCAGAATTGCCCGATGACGAATTGCCAGCACAATTATTCACCGCAGTAACTGCCAAAAAGCTATTAGTACTTTGCAAAGGCATGTTCCGTTGCTGAGCTGATAAACGTCTAGAGCCCTTACGCCAACTACCGCTGCCCGTTCGTTTATGCGTAAGAGCACTATGTTCGTTAAATAGTTGGGCTTCTATTTCTTGTTTGCTAACGCAAGTGAATGCTTTGCTAAATGATTTGCGAAAATTATCGCTTAGAAATGCATAAAGTATTGGATTCATGGCCGAATTTGAATAAGCCAAACAACCAAAAATCAAGATTAGTAAAATTTCAAAACTTGTTAATTCTCGATGAGTTACGTAGGTAAAAACTAATGATACCTGCGATACCCAATGCGGTAGCCAACATAATGTATAGACTGTAATTACGATCAATACCAGACGTGTTACCTTCCGATGCGATTTTTTCTTTTCTTTCGATTTATGCTTTTTCTGTACCGTACGCAATTTCCGTATAACGAGAACGTAAAAGATTAAAATGAAACTCAACGGTATTGCAAAGCCTAAAAGGAATGTATAGAGTATAAATGTAACGCCTGAATGATTTCGATACATTTCTGGCCAATCGATATTACACGAATAATGAATGCCATCCTCTTGCCTAATTGTAGTGGCAAACAATATAACCGGCAACATAAGTATTACCGAAGTGAACCAAGCAATTAATGTTACCCATTTCGCTATAGGTAAAGTTCGATACCGTGGCGATTCAATGGGATGGCAGACAGCAATATATCTATCAGCGGCCATTATCAGCAAGAATATGGATGAGGAAAATTGGGTAATGGATGTGCTTACCATATACGCTTTACACATATATTCACTAAATTTCCAACTACAAATACGCATTGTGTACAGTAGAAAGGGGATTCCGATTAGAAAACATTCATCGGCTATGGCCAAATTTAATATGTAGATATTTGTAACGGTTTGCATTTTTGAGAACCTTAACACGACCCAAATAACAAGAGTGTTGCCAAGCAAGCCAATCACACACACCACCGAATACATAATGATGGTGAATATGTGAGCCAAGGCATTGCGATTTTCTACACACTCCTGATGCATACTTAATAAATGTTTTGTTTGACCACCTGTTAAACTTATATTGGGATTAATTGACCGGTCCACCATCTCTTCAATTTCTTCTTCTAAAGCTGTTAAATCGGTACTAATTACGGTTGGGGTTGATACTGTCTCCGTCGCAGCGACATTAAATGGCAACAAAGTTGTAATAATGTCGGAATTTGTTAAATTGTTATCAGGCCACATGAAAACTTTATCCAACAACTTTTTCTGTTCACTGTTCCAGTATGCGGTGGCGTTGGCTGTCGCGGTGTTATCGGCCGGATATTCATTTAATACAATGCCTCCATTGTAGTTATTTACTTTTCCATTCTCCCTTTCTATTGTAGTAAAACTAGTTGATGTCAGTTCTATTATTGCCGCTGTTTCCGTTATTGTTTGCTTGTTGATTGCTTGTGTTAAACTACAAAAATTTAATAGCAAGGCTATGCCCGTGATATTGTATATGACAAACACATGCCATAACTGTTGCCAATATGGCAAAGGCTTTCTTTTTGTTATATTCATTATTTTAATATAGTTATTCTTGCAGTTTTCAGTTCAGTCGATTTTATGTTCTATTTAACGCATACATGTTGATATCAGATGGGCTAGTGTGGGTATTTATTAAAAAGGAAATCAATTTACCCTTCCTGGTATGGTATGGTATGAATATAACTCGTATTGTTGTGTTATCTAAGGAAGAGAATGAATAATGAATAGAAAATAAAATTATTATACCGTGAATAAAATCCATTTACTATTTGATTTTATTAATTTTATAAAAAAAAAAAAAAAAAAAAAAACAAAAACTTTTATATAAAAATTGAACTTTAAAATTTTGGAATTTCCCTTTCTTCAATTCTCGGCGAGCAGAACCAAATCCATAGACTACGAAAGCATCTTTATTAAGGGGGAACATCATTATAAATTTTTGCTTTTTAATTGGCTTAATAGTTGAATTCAATCCCCGCAAAAAAGTTATTCTCTTTTTAATTTCGCTGACACTACGAGGAGAATGCTTGTGTCATATGAATGCCTCCCGGAAAATTGTCGCCTAATATCTTGCTTTCTTAACACTTAAATATACGGCCAACAATCTCGCCGAATATTACTATTCTTCTACCTTTCCTTCCATCCAAAAAAAAAAAAAATTATTAAAAGCCCTTTTATTTTTAGGCTGGTAAGGTAAGGTTACCCCTTAGGGCACATCATATTTTTAATAAACTATCAGATCGCTTCCCGCTAATTTTTTTTTTTCGCAAAACTATACGCTGCAAATACAATTTCCAAAGTCTATTAAGTATACTATCGGGATTATTTATAAATAAATAAATAAATGAAGCTTTCTCCAAGCAACATGGAAACAGGTGTATAGCCTGCGGTGAATACAATGCCAAATATTCTAATTGTTATTGTATAAAATCGAACTTGATATTCCGACTTATTGAAAATTCTCATGTGCTCGAATTTGCGAAATAATGCTCATTATATATATTACACATAGCGTTTTATTAAATCATTCATCAGTAAGAAGATGATGAGATAATAAATTTAATTACCTACATTTCGATGCCGTATAATATAATTAATGCACTTAAATAAGCAAATTTGTTAAAAGCATAAGATAAACAACTAATATTCTGTTTACAATTATGTTACTTTTACTTTTGCATATGAAATAAAAAAAATAAAATATTAATTATAAATATATAACTATTAACGTATATGTAAATATAAATGTGTAAAAAAATTTATTATAACGAAAACGGGCTAAAAGTCCTTTTAAATGAAAATATCAAATAAAAGCGTCACTCCACTCCTTTTCTATACTCAACCTTAGCTTCTGGAACTATATTAATTCGGATTCAAGCTCCATAAAACCTGAGAGGTATTCGTATTCAGTGCAGTCGATTTCTATTTCAAATTATATACTACGATGAGCTAATATGCATATTATGAAATACCAAAAACATTACATGGCCGGTTGGCCATGTAATGGCAAGAGGATTGAAAATATCGCCACATACGACTCAAATTTTTGATATCTATTTAATATGCCGACAGGCTAATTTTGTTAAGAAATTTCGAAAACTTCAACTTAATTTCATATTTTCATATAGCACCTTTTTCTTAATCAGTGAGTGGTTGTAAAAATGCGCCGATCGATTCGCCCCTGGGCGAAAACACGTCAGTGTCTCAAATTCACTCAAAATATATCACAAGTTGCGACCTGCAGATTGAACACAAAAATACATGGATAAATTTTAGACGGCCAGACTTTCTCTAAGAAGGCGTTATAGATGGTCAGATCTGAACCATTCTCATTAATGTTCATCGTTGAACCAAAACTCTTCTTTGTACTGAATTCTATGAAAGTATCTTAAAAATTGCGGCCTGTAGATTAAAAATAAGAGAAAAAGATAGAGAAACGGGCCGACAAGGTTATATCGGCATAAAGAAAGCTGAGGTGATATCTGAAATCTTTTTGGACGTTGTATATATCCGGACAAATTAATTGTATCCTTGTAGCACAAATGGTGGAGGTAAAGGTGTAGTAAAGACTTTTACCAGTTTCTCGACTTTTAAAAAAATCAATTATTACAATAATTAAATACGAAAAATTTTTAACATTTCCTCGCAACTATTCTCTGTATTCCATCTTTCTACTACTAAAAAACCAATAATTTATGCTACCATTACCGTGCGACGTTTAAGTGTATCAGTGTTCTTCTTAAACCGACAAAGACACTTTCCCGATTTTTTTATAATAATTTATAATTAATAATATAAAATATGCTTAGTATTTCTATTAATATATTCATTTTATTGTAATTAATTTATTTTTCTTAATAAGATTATTAAGTTTGTTAAAAAATATTATAAACAATTCCTATCAACATATTAATTAAATTAAATATATTTTATACACTTTATTTATATTTTTTTTACTTAAATATAAACTTATTACAGATGTTATTACTAAATGTATTATGTTTCCTCTTACCGAGGCAATAAGCGAGCAAATATGTATCTAATAATGTACTAAAGTAGTTAACACTTGATTGCTGGAGCGAATCAATTTGTTTTGTTTTTTTTTTTTTTTTTTTTTTTTTTTTTCTATAACCAATCCCTCAGAGGATGTCCCCTATTCGTGTAATACGTTGACGATCAGAAAGAAGGTAGGAAAGAGAAAGGATTAGGGGAGAAGTGACTGCAGCTCACTATGGGTGAGTGTTGTGCCTTTACCGAGATTTTGAAGCCGGAAACACTGGCTTGGTAGCCGCGGTAATTACCCTACTCGGCTATTTAGGCGAATTTACGATTTTATGGCTATATATTCGGGAACACTAAAAAAAATATTTATTGTTAAATGTGTGCAAACATCAATTTCTTCCCCTTCCCATCCCTTTGTCCACAAAGTCCATATGTGCTATATTTATTTTGCGGCGCAACCGAGTCAAATTCACTCATTAAATAATTATGTATAGGGAAAATTCGTTGAGAACGGCCAGGCTCCTTATACACCTAACGCAAACATAACGGTCGATGAGCAATTGCTCTAAACCAAGACCAGATGCCCATTTACTCAATACATGCTGAATAACCCAGATAAATTTAGCATCAAAAGGATTGAATTGCCAAGTCCAAATATCATACAAACGAAATAAAATTAAGGCCGTCTGTGACAAATATATAGACAAAAAAAATTGCCGAATATGTATTTGAAAAACGAAATATATACGTATAAAATTATTTTGAGAAAATTTTCAAACTTGATGTTTGAGTAAAATCGTCTAATTTCAAGTAAACTACGTATATACTCGCGATCCTTCCATCCATCGTTAAGATTCCATTGTTGCCGAAGCATTACCAGATAGAACGATTAATTAATATCAACTATTTCTAAGCTTATGTTTATTAAGCCATACATACATACATTTTCATTAAGTTAATTCACAATTTATCCCGTATATAGAGGATCCAGGAAATTTTTTTCACAATTAACTCTAATAAATTCGTTAATATGTAATATTTAGTTAGACTTCTCCTTAGATTATTTTTCTTTTTTTTTTCTTTTTTTTTTGCTGCTTCTCAGTTTTATTCTTATCTGTACTGACGAGTCTGGACTTAGTACACGATATTTTTTACAACATTACAACGCAACAAACTGCCTTTCTTTCAAAAGCTTAATAACAATGACACCGCTTTCGAAATTTTTTGAAATATATAATAACCTGAGAGTCACACACTTACCACACTTTAGATGTCAACTATAAAATTTACAGTCAGTAAAGTTTGCAAAAGTCTTGTCAATAATATAATGAAATGTTTACTAAAATGTAGGATTAAAAGCAGCTAAACTTAATCCTTCCTTAACAGCATCGTAACGGTGAAGAAGGTTATTGCCCTTGACCATATCATAATAATAATGTTGTAGGATACCTTCACGCAAAAAATTAAATAAGAAAATATATACGAAAACTGTAAGTAGAAAATTAGCTATAAAAGTGACAAAGTTGTCTTCTACCATCTAATCACTTTGTGTACATTCAAGAAAATTATAAAAGTCGTTTAATCAATCCTATAACATAGTATAAACGCTATTAATAAATTTTTTTATTTTAAGTCAAATCGTATTCAATTTCTTTTTGTGAGCGAACTTTTCCCCGTAAATCTTACAACACTGATCCCCGGCCGGTTCAAACTTGATAGATTAAGTATCTACAGGCCGTCATTTTTTCCATATTTCCATAAAATATTATTGACTTTCTGTGTGACTTATAATCATCCAATATCGAAATTTCAAAATAAAAAAACAAAAAAAAAAAAAAAACTGATCCACATTTTTCACTTTTGTCTTCAATAATATATTTCCCCGGATAAGCAAAGAAAATTTTGTATTTTTGATTCTGTACAATATTACCCGAATTTACACGCGTCAGTTTCGAAGACTTCGCATTTGAAGAAACATTCACGACACAACAGCTGTTATGTCTGAACACAACGACTATGGTATATAAACTGCCTTTAAACGACAACGATGTCAGATTGATTTAAAGCAAATTGCATGTCACGATATTTGAGTTGTTAACGTTATTCCATGATTGAATGAATGACTTAATAATACCAATAAACATCAAGTAACTAAATTTTAAATTAATATATTCTAGGGATTATAAATAATTACCAGCCGGAAAGGGGACGGTAAAGACAAGAGGAGACGCAAGAGAACGCAAGTTAAGTCGATTCAATAGCTTATGTTAATCAAAAACATTTGCACATTTTATGATATCCTTAACTATATTTCTAGGAAATCAAGTCACTAGCGCATCTATATTCTTCGGCCGTGGGCCGTGGGCCTTAAGCATAAAATTAATTATGTCTATGTTTTCTACTCTTTTTCTCTATTGTCCGGTCATTGGCCTCGTTCTATTTATATTGACATTGCACGATTGTGCGTGAGCATATAAATTTCACAATAGCTAACCTTGTTGTAATAACTGCATATTTAGCATCGACCAATTGTCTGTTTAATTTATGAACGAGCAAGCATAAATGCTTACTTATTTCATTTGCAAACAATTACGTTTATCAATCACAAAATTTTGATTTTGAATAAAAAATAATAATCATAACTCAAAAATACCGTTTTAAGGGAATTACATGTAAATTTTACATACTTGTCGCAATAAA